GCGATATCCGCCTTGTCCAGCTGGTTCCAGAAGCGGGCGATGCAGCAGGCCCTCGTAATACATGGCCACGCCATGATGCTAGATGCAAAGCGGCCCCTTTCTTTATGTGGTTCTAAAGCGGGTTTTTAGTCTTGCTTCTGCCCCGGCCCCCACCCGCCAGTGCGGTCCCCACCGCTTTCTCTCCCAATCCGCCTGCTGCCTCGTCCTTCTCCCTCCGAGCACACCCGGGGGAAGCTAACGCTGAGTGCCTGTGAAGTCCCTGGATTACCGGCTGCAAACGCCTTCGAGAGCTCAGCTGCTGCGGACGACGAAGGACGAGAGGAACTGCGTGCCGGAGTCCCTGGCTAGGGCGTCTGGGGCGCGCCCCTCCCTGCGCTGCGGCGCTCGTAGACCCCGGCCGAGCGAGGCGACGCGAGACGAGGTGGCCGCGGGGTTAAGCCATGGCGCAGAGGAAGGGCTGGGCGATGTGGCTGCGGGGTCCGCGGACCTGGCTCGATTCTCCTGCCTGCCCCTGTCCGGGTGCAGCCGTCTAGCTAGCAGGGCTTGAGGCCGTCACCTCCGGCGAAGATCGTGTCTGCTTCCTCGGCCAGCGCGGGCGGGAGACGATGCTGCAGCCGCTGTCTCCGCTGCCTCTGCTGCAGAGAGGCGGCCCCACCCTTTTCTGCCGCCCAGCTAGGGAGGAGGAAAAACCCAGGAAAGATGCTGAGAGAAAGCGCGCTGCAGAAAAAAATCACCTGCTGTCGTCAGCTCGCGCTGCTGGGAGCGTGCCCTCTCTCTGTCCCCTCCTTCCTCGGCTCCTCCCTCTTCTCACCCCGGCAACCGCAGATCTGGGGCCTTCGTGGGTTCAAATCCTAACTTCCTGCCAACTTGTCATTGCTTTGGTTGCTAACCTCCGGGAGCTTGAGGCTGTCTTATAAAATAGGGCCAATCGTTGGAGGGAGATAGTATTTTTTTTTAATTATTAAAGAAACCCCTAGTGAAATGTCTGTCCCAGAATAGATTCTTTAAAAAGGGAACTGCTACTATTGGTCAGTCACCAGACTATCTGAACCCAGTGTGGCTGGTTTTTGATCCAGGTCCTTGCCAGTCAGTCTTCTCTACAGACCTTGCTCAGATGTGGGGGACTGGGATCCCAGGGCTGGTGGTGTCCCGTCCCCTGCTTACCTAGTGGATGGGTGGGAAGGGTAATGTCTTAGTCCCTACCAAGAGCTACCTGGTCCTTCAGCCCAGAGGCCTCTTGGGGGTGGGGGTGTGAAAAGAAGATTCTGGAAAAGGGTCTAAGTGGTTGAGAGATGGATGGGAAATAGTTCTGTAGGAAAGGGTAGAGCCTCATCTACAGGGCTTTCTGGAATGTTCCTGCCCCCCCACCCCAACTTGGGGGCAGAATAGATTTTGCAGTCTGATGGACCTGGTTTGATTGGAACACTATCTTTGTAAGTTGGGTCATCCCTGGGCCTCGGTCTCCTCATCTGTAGAGTGGCGGAAATAGGAGCTGTCTCAAAGTGGTCTGTGAGGCATAAAAAGGACACAGAACAGAAGCTTCGAGTCAAATAAAATCTGTAGGGATCCAAATCCTGTCTTTTGTAGTCCTTGCTGTATGGCCACAGGCAAATCATTGCAATATTCTGACCTTTAATTTCATCTATGAATGAGGATATTCATTTTGAATTGCAAGGTTGTTCTGAAAATTAACATGAGATAATGCACCAAAAGTACTTACTACAACATCCAACATGTAGCAACTGGCAGGTAGTCAAGAAATGGTAACCATTGGTATTCAAAAGGCCCATGAGATGACTCATAGGTGAACCTTTCTGAGCAGACTTCTCAGACACATTCTCTGGCAGACCTCTTATTTCTTCAAATACGTTTTGCTCTCTCCTTGTCTCGCCATTTGTGTCCTGTATTGTCCTCCTCTTCCTACCCCTAACCACGTCACCAAGCCTTTCACTCCTTTCCCTTTCAATGTAGATAGAATTTTCAGCATTAGGTAAGCTGAGGCATTGGTGTTGCTGGGGGAGAAAGTCATATATGTGTTTAGATTAGCAACTGACTGCAAAACACAGTCCTCTCTTTTAACCTTAGAATCAAACAAGATGAAGGAAAGCTCTGATTAGTCAATTACCTGCTGAACTTCCTCCTACTTGGATCTTTGACTCTTGGTGATTTGATTAGAATTCCATAAATAAAATGATGCTTGGCACTGTTTTGCAGACATTAGGAGATACTTTTCTATAAACCACATAATCTTGTCTGATACTTCCTCCCCCCAACACTGCAAAAATTCCTAGATTTGGCTGATTTCTTTTTTGGGGGTGTGTGTGGCTGATTTCTTTTCAATAATGATTTCCTTTTCTTATACAAGGCTCATTCTGTTGCATAGGGTGGTCTTGAACTCATGAGCCAAAGTTCAAGACCTCAGCTGATCCACCCACCTCAGTTTTCCTAGTAGATGGGATTATAGGAATGTGTCACCATGCCCAACCCAATAGTGATTTCCAAGGGTAAAAATTTGATACTAAAGTTACAGGGAGATGTCTGTTCTGAGAGTCATTGAGATTTTAACCTTTTTTTTTTTCATTTGTAAGTTTAGTCTCCTGATGCCAACTCACTACAGGAAACAAATAGATTCTAGATCTAAAGAAGCCCTCAGTTGGAGGTATATGTTATGGTAGGACTAGGAGAGAGACACAAAATAAAGTTAGCAAACAGTATTGTCACTCTAACAGAGGTGAATGCAAGTGCTGAATAAATAACAAATGAGCAGAAGTATAAGTAAAAGTGTATCAGGCAACTCTTTCATCATCACCTTCTGCATTTATTCATTTGGGTTTTTAAAACAGTCATTTGTATAATCCCATGACCTTATAGAACAGACACTTTTCATGGTTGTCTGGTATGTGGCCTGTTTAGCATCTATTCTGATTGTAAGATTATATACTCCATTACTTGACTTTTGAGAACTTCTCCTCTTCTACTTTCAGGCCATGTGGTTTGGTTGGGGTTAATCTTACCTCACTCACCTTTCAGGGCTGAACAGATGATCCATATCTGTTTACCAGAGGATTGCTTCTCTCTGGAAAAAGTGACTAGTTTAGTAATAAACATATGATATACATTAGACTAGTTAGTAGAAATCCAAGACTTCGGCTGGAACCAGCCTAAAAGCCATGTTTGTGTGCTCTCTCTCTCTCTTCTTTACTGAAATTACTAAAATAAGAGACCACAAGATTACTGTTTTCAGTGGTCATGGTGTTATTCTTGGTAGTGAGTGACCATTGTTGCAACCTCTGCATTTTTGCTGCTTAAACTGAAGCACACACAGAAAACTGTATTCTGGTGGTGTCTGCACCCCAAAGCCCATTATACACTTCCTTCCCAATAAGCCACACCCCAATTTCAGTAGGATTTTTCAGTCAGTCAGCCAGAAACTACATTTCCCAACCTCCCTTGTGGCAAAGAACAATCACATGTACTTCCAGGTCACTTCCTCAAAGTAAGTTGTTCTTAAAGTGTTCAACTTTGTCTTCTTATAGGGTAGAAAGTAGACATAGTTAGAAGAGTTATCATTTAGGTGGTTAAAATAATTCCTATGAGTACAGTGTGGTAGTTAAGAACACTCTGGTGCCAGGGTTTAACCCTGGAAAGAGTAAGCAGAAAAATAAATAGAAGTCAGTTGTCCTGGATGATGACTGCATGGGGCAGAGCGGCCTGGCAGGAGGGACCTATTTACTTCTAGATTGTGACAAGAAAAGAAATATACATCTCTTTTGTTGGAACCCACAGCCTGGAATCTCTGTTTTAGTACTTTTGTCATTTGAGCATGTGGAACTGCCTGTACCTTAACAAATTGGAGGAGTATGAAAAACACATTGAAGTAAAATACTAGAAAACAATATCATGTTAAGACAGGAATGATCAGAGTTAAGGTATTCTAAAGCCCTTATTGTTTATGAAGTGAGTAAAAATATTACTTCAAAATGTTTATGAGTCTAAAAATTCACATTGAAAAATGAAAAGGGAAAACTTTTTGTGTAACTATAAATTTATATACATATTATGGTATATATATTTTATATAAATATAATATATAAAAATAAAGCTTATAGAAAACTACTTATGACCAAAAATAAACAAAGAAAGAACATGACCAATAGCAAGTACAAAATAAGATGATAGAAACATTTATAAAATGTTAGTGATTGGGATATATGTAAATGATCAAATCTTTCTAGTTAAAAGAGAATCTCAGGTTGAAGAAAAACACAAAACCAAGCAAAGTACAACAGTACATTATTTTCAAGAAACATAGTGTATTTAAAACCCAATGAAATAACCCCCCCAAACAAACAAAAAAAATCCCAACATAAATACTGAAAAAAAGTGATTTGAAAAGATGTAGTAGGTAAATAACCAGAGAAAGCTGGTGCCACCATGTTAATGTCAGATAAAATTGATCTTTAAACGTATTTTTAGAGGGCCAGGGATTTAGCTCAGTGGTTCAGTGGCCTGCCTTGCTAAGTGCAAGGACCCGAGTTCAATCCCCGGTACAAAAAAAAAAAAAAGTAGTTTTAGAGATAAAGAGGGCCTTCATATAAAAATAGAAGAAGCAATTCACCAAAATATATGATGCAGTTTGCATCTAACAAAATAGCTCCAAAATATATAAAGCGATACTTGGTAGAGTTTTAAGAAGAAATGCACAGATCCATTACCACATCATCATTATCATCATATCCATCATCAACATCATCACAGACATTTCAAAAATATATCCAAGTATCCAATAAATCAAACACATAAAGTGATGTAGAAGATTGAAATAATTAATCTAATGGAACCTGTATCTAACAATTAGAGAATACATATTTTCTTTAAACTTACACAGAATATATAAAAATTTAACTATATACTAGATCACAAAACTAATATAAACAAGAAGAAAAAGCTTATTCAAATAACATTCATGACAGTACAATGATGTTATAAATTAATAACAAAAGATAATAAGAAATCTACACATATTTAGAAATAAAAGAAAAATATTTTGAAATGAATTCATGGTTTAAAAAAACTATAGTGGCAACAGGGCGTGGTGGCACACTCCTGTAATCCCAGCACTCAGGAGGCTGAGGCAGGAGGATCGCTGTGAGTTCGAGACCAGCCTGGGCTACATAGTGAGTTCCAGGTCAGTCTCAACTACATAGCGAGACCCTGTCTCAAAAAAC